GCTAGACATAAATGCAACTTGAGCTGGCTAGATGTAACCATAAATTCTATGTTAACAGTTTATTTTCCTCACACTTCTCACTTGTGGAACTCTCTTCTGACTCCATGCTTTCCAGCCAAGTTTGATCTCCCAAAATTTAAATTCAATGTCAATCATTATCTACAATCCTCTTGATTACTCTATATTATTCTCACTCCTTAATAATGCTTTTTTTTTTTCTCTTATTCTTTCACTCAGTAACCTCTTATATCTTTACTGTCTTGCATGGGGTGATATGATTAAGAAAGACAAACTGTGAATAATTATGTAACTGGCATTCTCTCTCATCATCAGTACATTGGTCTCACGAGGGAAAGCAGGATCATTGTTTTCTAATCAATTCAAGCCATTTAAAAATTGTGTTATTTTCTAGTTACAGGAAGCAAATACAATTATAAGAAGAAAAAAGGAATTCATAAAACTGTTTGCTGAATAAAAACTCATTCTTATTTATGTAATCTATCTAACTAATGATAACAAAGATTATCAAGTTACTGACAAGAAACAATTTAAAGCCAACAATTATCTCCCTTGTTACACATAAGCAACCAATAGCAAATCTGAGTTGATTTAACACATTTTATCAGACTGGCTCATTAGCCTCAGTAATTTGAAATGAATTAATTCAAACAAAGCTTGCCTCTGGCCACACTACAGTTAATGAATTACATGTACACAAATTATATCTGGTTTATCATTAAGTATTAATTGAAAGTTTTATTAACAAAAAGGATTAACATCATGGCTGTCATCGGGTTAATGGGATAATCCAGTACTGAAAATTAGACAATCTCAATGAGATTTTATCTTTTATACGTGTTCGATCTTCATCTCATTATGTGTGAAATTTAAATGATTGGGGCTGAAGATTTGTTTTATTTGTAACAAAATTAAAAGCATTCCATTTCTGTAACTAAGAAATTGGTTTATACTGAATAGGGGCTACAGGATTATGATATTAATTGTTTTGTGTTAACAGCATATCAAATGTTGGTTATTTAATGCAGAAAAGTTTTTTTTTATTTAAATATATGTCATGTAAACAATCATTTGGGTCATTGGTTTCATTACTTTCCAGTTATACCTTGAGAATGGAGTTATTTACTGCTATGATTGGTGATATAGACCAAACTCCTTCAAGAAGACTAAGATAATTTCTACCTTTACCTTCCTCTAGACTAGTCATGTCATAAAAATGTTGACATATGGGGGGTAAAGGTCACTACAATAGTCTAGAATATGTTTTGCAGTATATACCTCCAGACATGCTGTGCATTCAGATGGATGTTCATTTTGGGGGAGAAATGAGTGAGTGAATATAGGTGTGTCCCATTCTGATCCTTAATTATCAATTTCTTTAAAAAAAAAAAAAAATCTCCCACGGAAAAGGTATCTGACGAAAATCATAAAATGCCTCTGACACTAAGAGAGCAGTAATTAGCCTTATAATATGATATCAAACTACATTCCTGCCCAAATAACCCTACAATCAACCATTTCCTAGCCACAAGGTGGAGTAATGTATAGCGGCTCGGATTGAGGAATTAGAGAGCCAAGTTCTAATTCCAGTTGAATCCACTTACATGCTAATACCCTTGGGAAAGGTATGAATCCTCTACTTCTCTCCCTAGCTATGGGTAAATAGTAGGACAGACTGGGTTCTATAGCCTTGGATGGCAACTGGTCTACTGTATAAAGAAATGTCAAGCTACTGTGGGAAAAAATCTGCCTCATCAGTCATGTATTGAAAGATACATAATTACCTAAGCATGTATCATGCATGGCACATTACTGACTGATTCAACAAAAAAAAAAAATCAAACCATCAAATCTCATGGTCTCTACATGGTAAACATTATCCCTGAATCATGAACAGACACTGCCCTAACTCTTAAATCTACTACTATAGAAAACATACCTTGGCTGCCGAACACGCACAAACTAATTCCAATCCATCTAACTTTTTATTAAAAACAGGATTTTAATAGAGAAGTTTGCTGTTAGTGATCAGTTTGTAATGGCAGGGGGTAGTACAATTTGTTGATGCTTACTAAGACTTTCAAAATTAATTAATTAAACATTTTCCAGAAAAATAAATTTCATCACATAGAGGAAATTTGCATATGTATTCATATAAAGAACAAAATCACTTACAAAAAAGAAAGATATATAGAAGTGTATACAAATGATGATGGTAATATTAGCCGTATTCCTATAAGGAAACATTTAGCATTCCTTCACCGAACATTAATTACCAAAAATAGGAAAGTAAATATTTATATACTTAGCCATAGTGTGTGATGTCCATATGGCTTGTTTAAAATTAACTTGTCGGTTTGCCAGAAAGAAAGACTGGACATCTTCAAACTACTGTATGCAGTTTATGAGTGAGCAAAAAGAGAAAAAGGGACGTTTATATCTTTTCTTTTATAGTCCTGAAACGGTGCCACATAGTGGCATCCTGGCAGACAAAATGGAGAGGGAGGGTGTAATATCCCAGATGTTCAACACAAGGGTTATATTTTCACCAATTGAGACAATGAAGTTGCAAGTTTCAAGGGGTAAAAGAGATTATTTTCCATCTTTTTTAGCACAGATTTGCAAGAGGCAACTAAAGAACAGTTCGTTTTTTTTTAGCTATAAAAAATGCATTATACCTTGCAATAACCTTAAACTATAGACAAATTAATAATTCATTTATTAATTTATTAAATAAAATTGCTTGCTTTTTATCTGTTATTAGATAAACTGGATATGAAATATATACTATTGTGGAGAGAAGATTTTTACATGAACTGACACCAATATATGTAAACAATTTGTTCAAGATCTATTTACCTATTTTTCAGCTTCAATACAAATTATGTCTCTTTAAAAGTTAACTATTTTATCTTTACTGCCTAAAAACTATCTTTTAGGCCAGATTAAACAGACATTGAATTTTAAGACTTCAAAAGTTGTAAAGACTTAATTTTAAGAAATTATTTTGAAAATTGTTTTTAAAATTACTTCTAAATTTTCTATGATAATCATTTTTTTTTTTTCATTGTTGCAGTTTTTTCAATATATTTTTCTTATCATGGATTAAAAACTTACTTCATAGTCTACCTCCAGTCTCTCAATGCAATTCCTAAACACTCTTTAAACTACAGACAAATTAATAATTCATTTATTAATTTATTAAATAAAAATGCTCGCTTTTTATCTCTTATTAGTTTATTTACTGCTGAATAAAAATCCCGAAAGAACAACATCTCAGAATTGCTAATTCCATAGTTTTTGTCAGGGGGTTGGAAGTTACCTTTTACTCACAGATCTATTAATGATTCTATTAGAATGGGAAAACTCTTATTCAATACCATATTTATGACAAGGATAAAATATGGTTGCTCTAAATGGTATTTGGCAAAATATTATGCTGTTTTTTAATCAGCACAGTATTTAGATATTTAAAGGTTTCAATCAAATTATATCCATAATATTCAGCAATATTCCATCATAATAATTTTTTATTGTTTTATTTTTTTTCAACATATTTTTCTTATGGGTTAAAGACTTCATAGGCTACCACCATCTCTCTAGACTTAATGCAATTTTGGAACTCACTTTAACTGCAGACCAATTTGCATATCTTGGCTTCTGCAGGAATTTGTTTTACGAATGATAATTACATGATCATTCCATAATTCTTTCCTCAATATCAGGTTATTCCATAATATTTCCATTGCATGACTTGGAAAAAAATAATACCATTATTTTAAACAATTTAATCTAGTTTGTTTCAGCTAAATTTTATTAAGCCGGGATGTTCAGCTAATAAATAAAAATTCTTTTTTGAGGCACAATGTTCTAATGGATAGTGGCTTGTTTTGAGGAGCTGAAGAGCCAAGTTCAAATACCAGTTAAGTACATTAAATTTACTTACATGTTCATACCCTTGGGAAAGGTATGTATTTATTGCATAAAAATACAACTGTAGCACAAGGAAGAAAGAGGAAGTGGGGTGAACCTAGCTAATCTGATTTGTAACTCATTCATTCATTACAATTTACTCAATTACCAGAAGAATTCATTCAGCTCCATTCATCCAACATACACATCAATAATGCATATTCAAAGGTTTGGGGGAGGGGGTCCTAGTAAAACACCCATGTTAGAAAAATTTTATATGTACAAATTTCTTTTTTTTTTTAACTTTTTTTTATAAAAAATATATGGCATGAAAGATATTAATCCATCTCTTCCCCAGCTATGGGTAAAATAGCAGGACAGATTGAGCACTATAGTCTTGGTTGGAAACAGGTTGTTTTCCCCATGAAATATATGGCTGCAGTAGATGTGATGCACCTATGACCCTAAGGAGGTACAGGATTCACGATCGTACTTTGTGTCTTATCTGTGATTAGTTAATTTACAGCTAAATAAAATTAAAAAAAAAAAATAAGTGAACAGACACTAAATATGCTAATTCCATCATTTTTGCCAGGGCTAATATCCCTAAGTTGATAAGACTTCATTGCATAATATATCTATTTTGGAGGAATTTTCATAAAAAGAATGTCAGTATTAAAATCTGGAATTTGACATCTCATTATATTGGCTTTTTTTTTTCTTGTATTAGAGATGCTTCATTGTTCATCTTCATGATTCTGCCATTTGGATATTTAAAGGTTTCAATCAAATTATATCCACAATATTCAGCAAGTTTTTATTGATGACAACACCTTTCTTTCATTTTTTGTGTCTCTCTCTCCTGCAATTGCCTTCTGCTTTATCATGACTGACAGTTGACTGAAGACTTTTCTAATCTTGACTAACAAGGTGTGCTTGAAAAGACAGGATATCACTTGTTCACACAAAAAAGAAAAAAAAATATAAGAAAAGAAAAAAAGTTATAAGAATGCAGAATGCCAAAGAAATATCATTGTGTGAATAAGCAATCATTGACAACGATCCACATCATGTTATTTAAGTTCTTTCTTTTACAGCGATTTGTTGAACTCCTAACATTTCGTGATACAGAAAAAAAAAAATATTGGGACCCATATCTTGGTGACTCTTGTCATTTCAATGACACTCACTTACTGCAGCTGACACACAGAATCTCTCCGGCAAAGTGGAGTCTCTTACAGAAGCAAAGTCAGGTTTCTATTGCTCCCTTTACATATCCCTTTCTTTTTTGTCTCTTCCTTCCCTACCATCTAATTCATATCTTACTTCTACCTTCATTTTCTCTGCTCTCTTTCTTCTGTTCCACTTCATCTAAATTTTTCCTTTCTCTTTGCCTACTCCCTCTTCACCTCTTTGTCTTCCCTTTGCCTACTCCCTCTTCATCTCCGTCTTTCCTTTGCCTACTCCTCCCCCATCTGTCTTCTCTTTGCCTACTTCTTCTTCCTCCCTTTGCCTACTCCTCCTCCATCTGTCTTCTCTTTGCCTACTCCTCTTCTTACTCCCTCTTCATATCTTTGCCTACTCCTCCTTCCTCTTCTTACTCCTTCTTCATCTCTCTTTTTACTCCTTCTTCATCTCTCTTTTTACTCCTTCTTCATCTCTCTTTTTACTCCTTCTTCATCTCTCTTTTTACTCCTTCTTCATCTCTTTTTTACTCCTTCTTCATCTCTCTTTTTACTCCTTCTTCATCTCTCTTTTTACTCCTTCTTCATCTCTCTTTTTACTCCTTCTTCATCTCTCTTCTTACTCCTTCTTCATCTCTCTTCTTACTCCCTCTTCGTCTCTCGTCTTTGCCTAACCTTCCTCCTTCTCTTTGTCTCATCACTATCAACTCTCTTTATTTGATTGTGCTTTCATCATCACTATTTTCTGCCCACTCCCTTTGTTTCAGTATTTATCCTTATCATTTTCTCTTCACTTCTCCCTAACTTTTTTTTCATTTTTTCCCCTGTCTCACTACTTATATCTTCTTGACTCTTCCACTCTTTCATCATCCATTTTTCTCTTTTCAAGACTCCCTCTTCCAGCCATTATCTCACTACCAGTGATTTTCTCTCCCTGCCCCTGCTCACCCTCACTACATCTTCCCATCCAACCCATCCTCTTTGTTGATGTGTCTCATGAAAAAAAAAATTCTGTCTTGAATTGGCCACTGATCAACTGTCACCTTTGCAGAGCCGGAAGTTGTCCCTGGCTCACTGACAGAACTGGCAGTAATCATCGCATCATGTTTCTGTCAACCGAGGGGGTTCCTAGGCACGCAACCAGCGTTATATGATGCACACTTTGCACAGCAATGCATCCCTGTCCCCCGTCCACCCATTGCTGCCAATAATGGCACACCTGAACTTTGAGAATGGCAGTCTCAATTGTGTCCGATTTGCTCGTCGTCTCTTTTCATTATACCCATTTCTGTTTTTATCTTTTTTTTTTTTTTTTTTTAAAGCTATCAACGTTTTCTCAAAGAGAAGATACTTAAGGATATATTATCATCAATGCATCTGTCCCTATATTCACAAGCTTTGTTCCATACTGACAGACTCACACACAGTAGTACACTCCTATCGTCATCTCCATATATTTCAGAGACACAATACTGCACTTATGTCAATAGCTCTTACTAGTAGTTTGTATCATTTCTATTTCAATGTTATTATTGTCGATGCAAATATAAAAACATTATCAAGAATTGATAAAACTTTCTTATAAATATCAAGCTAACTTCAGAGTAATGCAACTCAGAATATAATGGATTAATACAGATATTTCTAACAAATATTTCATAGATTTTTTCGATTTCTTTTACTCCATTCTATCACAATAACGACATTGATATCAGCAATGATTCTGCTAGAATAAGTACTGAATATACCAATAAAGTACTTCTTTAAATATTTGACATATTTAAGTTCTAAATTTTATTAACATTTCTTAGTGAACATTATTTTTAATTCAATGTTCCTAAACTGGGACAGTGTGACCCAAGAGATGACATTTTTTCATAGATTTCAAATAAAAAAATTAACCATTATTCTTGGAGTCTTAAGTTCTTTTCCTGGTACTTGTTAGTTGACATTTACCAAAGAGAAACTAAATGGGTAAAAACTGAAGAAAATTGGTAAGCATTAAATAATTACAAACTTGGAACATGTAAAAAAAATATATATATATATATATATATATATATATATAATAAGTATGAAACAAGCTGATGTAATAGGTGGGTGTTTGAAAACACGATCATTGGTGGCTTGTAATTTTACCCATTTCCGTACAAGGAAACATTTCACATTCATTGACTGATCTGCTTTCAGTTGAAATTTATAAAATTGTTTTTCATGTCCAATCGCTGTTATTGCACCATGCAATGTCATTCATATGAAAGTCTCAATCTGATGATGCTATTTAAGATCATGACTCAAGTTTTCCAGTTAATGTTTTGATTTGTTAGCAATTTGTATTGTTGGGCAAAATTACCTTAGTGCAGCTTATTATATGTTTAATTTTGTTTTCTTCTAAACTAAATATGTTATAACTGATCTATATGCTGAGCTATTTGAAATGTTTAGTATTTACTAATTCTACATCCTGAACTTTTATGATGGACTCTGTGTATGCGCTTTCATTTCAATTCCAGATCATAGATCAATTACTAAATAATGCAGGGTATTTCTTAAGCATATTGGCAAATGACATGTGACTTAACTGAGATGATGTACGGCAATTAGTAGAAACTTCAACATTAATAGTGAATGTTTCTTAAACATATTTTACCTTCTGTTTCTGTTATATACCGTAACTATGAACACTAATAGGTATGTACCAATCCTCATAAATATGTTGGATGCTATTGTAAGTGGGGGTAATATGCTGTCTAAGTAGTCCACCATTAGCAGTAGTTTATTTTGTGATGTCAGAAGCCTTCATGTTGTCAAGACTTTGGAATCGCAGATACTAGTAGCAACTCCTTTGAATAATACTTGTATTAGTAATAGTTGTTCAAATAGTAATCCATAGAGTGATTAGTATAGAGGATAATATAGAAAATCGCAACCACTTACATGCCACACTAATTCCCATATATACCTTTCTTTTATGAACCCATGGTCTACTTATTAGAAATGGAATCATCTGTGTTTGGTCACTGGTGATCCATCGGCAACAATAGTTTACCTACTTCATGCTGCTGGTAAGCAATTTATTTTGTTGATGTTATAAAGATTACCATTTCATTTCCAACCTCCATTTTGATTATTCCTCATTTAGTAACATTTTCCTTGGTTACAACAGTTTCTAAACTGGGACAGCATGGCTCAAAATGAGACATTTTGTCAGTTTTTGAAAAGAATTAAACATTACTCAAAGTCTGAGATCCTAATCTTTGCATCTTATTTGCTACTTGACATTTACTGAAGAGAAAAAAAAATTGGCACACACACATATATATATATATATATATATATATATATATATATATATATATATTATCCTTGTAAATGTTATATTTGGTGAGTACACGTTTGAAAATACATGCCTTTTTTTTCTTATTTTTAACAGTGAAATTAAGAGATGAAAAGTGTATTAAAGAAAATTATTCTCAGGTGATATTCGGCACATTTTCTTTCAACATCAAGAACTGTTTATCTGTGTGTGTGCGTGTATATATAAATACACACACACACACATATATATATGTATATTAAGGAATAATATTTTCTGAAACATGTCTATCCACCAAATATAATCTTTATCATAACAAGAAATAATTAAGAATTAAAAAATTCTTTAATTGCTTAAAAAAGTACACACAGATACTCTGATGATTGCAAAGGGCATGAAACCCATGGTCACAAACTCACATCAATGCAACTAATATATATATATATATATATATATATATATATAAAAGTGAATATTGAAGTCAACACTTAGAGGTGACAGGCTGTTTCATGCTGGACACAATCTTCAAGCCACCTAGCGTCTAGCATGAAAACAGCGTGTCACCTCTAAGGGTTGACTTCCATGTTCACTTTTATATTTACACATGCTCTATCTCTGATATTGAGTACTTTATCCCATAAATATAACACCTTAAGAGTATATTTCTTCATATATATATATATATATATATATATAGTAAAAATAAATCTGGTTGATGTAATTACTGTGTGATTGAAAATAGTGATCAATGATGTTTTTTTTTTTTTTTTTTAGTCATATTCACCCCAAGCAAGGCAATAATGCCACTATGATGCAAGGGGTTATTGGGAGTGAACAAAAATGAGAAAATTTTAATGAGGCAAAAGTTTTTTTTTTTTACGCATTTCACCCCAAGCAAGTGCCACTACTAAATAATCTGTATATTTTTTAGTATTTTGGAAGATGACTTTAGACTTGACTGAGAAAATGTATAACAGTCTGTTGGTAAATTCAACATTAAAATTGAAAGGGTTTAGTATGAAAAATTAGGAAAGAGGCTCTTGAGAAGATCTACTTTTAATCTCTAAAACACACAGCAAATAGTTTGCTCAATAGCTTGCAAGATAAACAGGACAAACTGTACTGCAACTTTTGTCTCGTTTCCTTTTACTATTAAATACAGGATTCCCACAAATAATGTAACATTTAAGCAAAAGTAAAATTCATCATTAAAAAAAATAAATAAACCAAGGAAATTATCAATTCCTATTTTTGTAATAACAACCAAGAATTCAATGCCAAAACAATTATTGAATTGATTTCACAACCAGCATGGGTTCTGGTTCTTCAAGGCTGAAAAACAGTAGAAAAGCAGCAGTAAGCACAAAGGCACACTTTTCTTATGAGGTTCTTCACTCAGAAACCAAAACTGTCACAAAACAATTGGCATCAAGATTATGTATTAGCTGCATATTCCAATATATCAAATATACATTTATATTAACCAAGATCATTAGATATTTTTTCAAAATCATTAACTTCTGCAAATATGTCTTGTGGTATATTTGAATAGGATGATAGGATGTATATTTGAACTGGATGAAAAATAAATATAAATAAGATGACAGGACATCTTTTAATGAATTTTACTTAATAAGTGAAAAGTAATTGTCTTTTAAACCCAGGTAACCATTTTTTCTTCCTTGAAATGTCCAGTTTAGTAATGGTTGTGATAATATTAGCTGTTTCCTTATAAGGAAACATTTAGAATTCATTGACCAACCAACCAATACCACTGTTAGTTGAACTTTATAAAATCTTTCTCTTAAAACAATTTTTGAGGAAAATATTTTTTTCACGTTCAATAACACTTATTGTTTTTTTTTTTTCAATTTTGATGGCAGTTTCCTTCCTAACCTTTTGCTTGAAGTAGTGTGGAACATCAGCATTTTAACTGTGTTATAATTTTCTTTGTTTTTTTTACATGTGCTATCCATTTTGGTTGTTGTTGCTATTAAAAGTTCTCAAGTGATGTGGTTTCTGTTATTTGGTACAGGTTTTTGTTTGTTATTCCGTAGCACAAGTCTGTAAGGTTTGGAGAAAGATAGTCATCACTCAGACCTACAGCGGTTGTATTAGCTGACAGTTTCAATATTTCTGAACAGATCGGATGCCATGAATGACATCCATATGAAAGTCTCAATCTGATGAAACTATTTAAGAATATGAGATGAGGCATATTTTATATATATAACTGACAAAATGGTTAGAAGTTTTATAAAGGTGAACATTAGTTTTTATTAATATTCAGATATAAATATATGTATCTGCAAAGTCAATATTAACAAATTATTTTTTAACTAATGTTCACCTTCTCCAAGGCCCAAGAGCATCTCAAAGTAGAGGGTTACTGAACATAGTTATTGAGTAAGAGGTAAGACATGAAATTTATGAAGATATGCAAGGGAAGATAACAGTTAACCCTGGACTTGAATAAGTTATGGTTATA